AGAAGGGGAAAAAAATGTTCGAGTTGGCTTGTGGGTGTAGTGGGTAAGCCTAAGGAAGAGGATTGGTATTTTTTTCGAACCCCGTGGGTATTTTATTTTTCTTGTTTCTTTTAGTTTGTGTTCTTCCCTGTACAAAATGATCAATTCTGTAGGCTAATACATTTACTGCCCAAATTTGTGACCTTAAATTCTATTATTTTAAGGACAAAAGCTATGAGTTCTTGATCATTTAATTGCCTTGCATATTTCAGGCTTGTTCTAAATGGGCATTTCTCAGTAAAGCCTTGTTACTAGTGGTGGGTGGTCAGACCAAGTACATGATCACTTGTTAATCAAGTACATGATCACTTGTTAATCAAGTACATGATCACTTGTTAATCAAGTACATGATCACTTGTTAATCAAGTACATGGTCACTTGTCAATCAAGTACATGGTCACTTGTTAATCAAGTACATGATCACTTGTCAATCAAGTACATGATCACTTGTCAATCAAGTACATGATCACTTGTTAATCAATTACATGATCACTTGTTAATCAAGTACATGATCACTTGTCAATCAAGTACATGATCACTTGTCAATCAAGTACATGATCACTTGTCAATCAAGTACATGATCACTTGTTAATCAAGTACATGATCACTTGTTAATCAAGTACATGATCACTTGTCAATCAAGTACATGATCACTTGTTAATCAAGTACATGATCACTTGTTAATCAATGCAGTTACACTTGGACTCAATCTAAATTTAAGGTTTAAATGCAGAATACCTTAATTAGCTACTGAATCAGTTTTATTGTATTTAGTTCATTTTTCGTTTAGCAGCAACAAATTTTGCTCAGCCCCAAATTTTTTGCAATTTTATTCTCCAATGTATAAAAATGATTTCACATCCCTTTTCGATTAAATGGATGGAAAAGTGCAAGTTTTTAAAACACTGAAATAACCCATGCTTTCCTGGACATCTGAGGGCACTGTTGCTTTGATATCATCTAGGGAAGACAGGTTATTGTGTAGGTTTTTGTTCAAACTGTAAACCCAAAATTAATTCAATGAAAACCTTTTCTGAGAAAGGGTTGTATGCTTGCTTTTTTATATGTATTTAAACACGGACCATTTACCCAGAGATGTGCAACTTAAGTTCAGAGCTGGTTCAATGCGTGTTACGGCCAGCACAATATCACAGCAGAAATTAAATTGGATTATCTCTAATGATAAAACACATATTCCTGTCTACCACTTTGTTTTCTTGTAATATTTTAAGTCAGGGTACACCCTTTATAAAACTATGCTGCTCAATATATTTCATCTTATACATTCTGAGAAAAGTGTACTACAAAATTGGGGAATTTTGCCTCATGAAAACTTTGGTTTCTGCTTGAAATCGATAAATGTAGAAGATTTATTAGTCGAAACAAATAGATTTAGGCAGCGCGTCGTCTCGGCATAACCACTGCTGCACTGTACATGCTGCATGCTGCAACACGTGTCATATGGTTGCAGTTTTCTTGGGAAAAGTCAAGAGTGCCTGCGGGGGTAATAACAATCCGTAACAAGCATTGAACCAAGGTCGCACATGTGTTTGCACTGGAGCCGCTCGTGGTTGCACATCCCTGGGTAAATGGTCCGTGATTTAAACAACAGTGAATCACCCAAGAAGAAATTCGAAACCAGCAAAATATGAAAACCTTTTTTGTGTATAAATCAATGCAACATAGACTAACACTAATAAATTTTAACTAATAAATAAATGAAAAGTGTGTGCATGCACATAAATAGCAAGTGGAGCTAACAAGTTTGAGCTGCCTTTTGAATATGTATTGGGGCACCAATATGAATTTCAACATCATTATCTCTGAGCTTTTGCACTTTTTTTCACTTTTGTCTTCAGAAAACCCTCTTAAATCATTACAGCTATTACATGTACTTGTTGATCACAAATAATTTTCCACTACACAAAATAACAACCTTTGCTTTCTCCCCGAGCACATGAGGTCAAAAGAAATTTACAGGACTCCTTTCCAACCAAGTCCAATTGGTTGGTATGGTACTTCAGGGTACCATGCAGTGTATACACCACTTGTATATGTAGGCACCTACATGTACTTTAAAATGTCATACTGTGAGTAGGACTTGAAAAGGTTTAAAAAGAGTAGTTATTGGACATAGCAGTCACTTCACACAGATACTCCCTTGATGGTATTCATCAAAAGAACCATAAGTACATGTATCTTTCTAACCGTAGATGTTGCACCTTGTACATCGTCGAATGAGAAAGGTGGCTGGTACCCTAACATACAGCACAATTTGTTTTACAGCTCTGAGAACACACAAAACAGAACCCTACTGATTTCTTTCGACCACGGCCGCTTTGAACAAACAAAATTTTCAAGTTTTTATTTTGTTCTCCAACAGTTTCTCTCACACCAGCTACAGTGAGTTTAGAGGGCGTTCCAAAGACAAAAGTGAAAAAGTGCAGAAGCTGAGAGAAAATGATGTTGAAACTTGTCCCCCTGTACATTTTCAATGGGCCGTACAAGCTTGTTGCCTCCACTATTTATGCCTTGCGCACATAAATTAGAATTTATAAGTGAACTGGTCTGTTGAGATTCTCTTCCAGGGATGGCATCACAGTTTTGCTTTGGAATATGGAAATATACATCGGCATAAAATCAAAAAGGCAGCAAAATACTCTTCAGAATTGTGAAACAACAATTGAAAATGAAGTTAACTGAGATTTTAAAGTTCATTTTGGATGTTGATGTTTTAAAAATTGCTTTGCAGCTACCCTTTAAAATATGAGATGTAAATTCAAAAGCAAGGAGCATTGCATGTGTTGTATTTTGAACTTTGTTTCATCTCATTTTCCCTTGCAAAAACTAATTACAGTTGATTTCACTTGAGTGTTCAGGCCCCATCTCACCTCGGGGTTGAGAATTTCAACTCTTATTCTGAACAGGGATGAGCTTGTCCTATCCCAGGGCAAGAACAATCTTGCAGTAGGCAGTGGTGTAGGAATATTAAGTGTGATGTGCCTGTGGCATCCCTATGTGAAGTACGAAAATACCTTTCAAGAACATTGCTTAATGCCCTTGATATGCTCTATAGTGCCACATTTATACTGCAGCTAGCAGTGAGGATTGAAGAGCAATCAGTGCTTGCGACGTTCAACCAGTGTCACATCTGGGGCTGGTATTGAATTCTGATCCTTCCATTTTTAAGGGACTCTTTCCACATTTAAATAAACTTGTCTGGTCAAGCTGATGTTATTAGCATTATCAAGCTGCCTATAGCATCATGCTGCCTTACATGTAATTAGATTACATATGTTAAATATTTGAGGCGTTGGGGAATAGCAATGATGATTGCTTCATATTTGGCTGTAAGGTTTTTAGAGTTTTAAGAACTCTTAAAGAGCATGTGAAGTAGGGGAAATTGTTTGGTCCTACATGCCCTGCCTGGCCAGTTGGCTTTCAAATTTGCCCCCTCCCAAACTAGTGCAGCAGTTGGTCAAACATTCTGGGGGATTTGATTTAAGCTGCGTGTCATTAATTCACTCAGTCATTTTCATATTATAGTCACATCCCCAAGAAAAAGTTTTTTAATAACAATATTCATGTTAGCATTTTTACCACTGAGGGCATAGCTCATAGTGAATGTCATTTTTCAAACAAAAGCTCATATATAAACTTTTGTCTCAGAGCCTCAGCAGCTACTGGTGAGACTACGCCCAATAGAATTTAAAAAGATTACTTGCTTATCAAGCTCCTGATTATAAGGTTGTGTCTTACAGGGCTCTTCCACAGGCCTGGTAGTGAAATTTGCTGATACAGAGAAAGAAAGGCAAATGCGCCGTATGCAGCAGTCTGTTCCTGCCGGGCCAGTTTCAGGATTCTTCAGTCCAACATTGCCCATTACACCAATGGGAGGATTAGGAGCCTACGGTGCATATGCACAAGCTGTGAGTATATGAAGCGGGACTTTCAGCTTTGGAACTGTATTCTGTGCTCCTTATATTCATCATATTCACAGAATTTACTCAGGTACTGGTAGGTGCTTGTCATTTTAAAAAAAAGTTGCAACTGGTCATTTGCAGAGGATGTGATGACATTTTGGAAGTTTGAGCATGTAAGAGTATTATTTAAGTAACTTACTTGAACCAAGTTGAAATTAATGTGTTCATAAGATGGTGTTGTGTTTTGTTATGGTATGTTTATGTGGTCATTGAAATTGGAGGTGGTTGAGTGATAAATAAAGGGTACATTGTGTCTTATTTTTCAATGTCTAGAGTTCATAACATCAACTGTAAAGCTGGTGTAGAATATGGGATGTTAGCTTGATATTTGATTGTGGGGGATGGGTACTTTGTATTTTGTATTTGTCAACTTTGCACCAGTTATACTACTGTTTTACATCAGTTTTAGTTGTTTGTCAACTCATGTAGTTTACTTTGGACTTCAAGTGGATTTGAAGAAGACAGTGAGGTTGGATGGACCAAGGTTATGTCTGGGTTGGTGGTACTTTGCTGTTGTTTTGTTACGTACAATCTTAATTGGGTACATGTCCATTGTCTATCTGGATGAGGGAGAAATGGAAACCACCAGTGTTATGCTTTTGCCTTTTTGTCGTACTGCATAAGCAGCAGTGTCATGGATTGTCCTGATACTGCAGTTTTGGTGGTGGTTTGGCAGTTTTGCCATGTTTGAGTTTAGCTTTCTCTTTCAGAACTTTGATGTCACTGTTATTCATTTGCTTGCCCAATGTCACACTCATCATAGATTACAATTTTTCATAAACTGTTTACTTCTCGGTACCAATCTCTTTTGGATCACACTTGTCTGGGTTTGGTAAATTTCCATGCCATATGTGCAGGTCTGCTATACATGTCTTCATGCTGCAAAGTTACCCTGTTGCATGTGTGGCTTTAATATCTAGAATGGTTGATATTCTTTATTTTCATCACCAGGGCTGGAGTTGCTCAAGAATACATTCAATTTCTTTTGCTTTCACACATTTTTAATATTGATGGGTTGCTCCAATTTTTCACTTGCCTGGATTGCTAAGACATCTTCAAACTGGGTGTCAGAGAACACAAGACTGCATGACATGTACATGCAGTTTGCTATTCAAACTCTCTCTTTATAGAAGATAGTATTATAAAACATTCATAAATACTGTAGATGTCGTGTATCATTATTATTCACCTTACAAGGCAAAAATCATTTTTTACTTGAATTCATGTACATCATGAAATAAGTGCATCAGAGTTTGCAGAAAAAAAGCAATGCACTCTCACGGCATTTCTGAAATCTTGTCACTTTGAAAGTTTCTGTGGCACTCAAGTGCAAAATGTATGAAAACAAACCTTGTAAAAGTTATCCCCAAAGTACAATGACACGTAGGCAGTAAATGAGTCCTTGGGCTGTGGACTGTGGTTAAGGATACAGTTGTAAGTGTATTTGTACTTGGACAAAAAGATACTCCAAACATTCAGATATTTTCGCAGATATCTGGTTTATATCTTGTACTTGAGTATCATTATCACCTGTCCAAATGAACCCTATATCTAATCAGCCAAGCCACATTTACATAGTCCTGGTACTTTAACTTGATTCTTATAATATGACCTCACATGTTAGTTTTCTTGATTTAACTGCAATATTGATTTTCATTTCAAAGTTATGATGAACCTTTTTGGGGGGTATATTGCAGATAGTTGCAGATCTTCCTATTATTTGATGCACTTGTATCACTGTTAGTATCTAATCTGTTAGGTCTAATTCCATCATAATGCCCATAATGTTTCAAAGTTTGATTCATTCTTTTTTCTTAAGTTAATGCAGCAGCAGGCAGCATTGATGGCATGTGGGCAAACCATGGCAACTGCGTACATGAATCCAATGACTGCTGCTCTGTCTGCTGCCCAAGTTCAACAGATGAATGCAGTCGCTGCTGCTAATGGCTTTACAGCAGGAACCACTACTATGACACCTACTGCTAGTGACTTTGCATGTAAGAACATCCAATCAAATGAGTTCTCAGATACACATGTACTTGCAAACAGTGTATAAAATTGTCTGCCTTTATGAGACACTTTTTATATTTTGTCAATTGTGGCAGAAAGACAGTGAGAATGCTTTTTGTTGAGGCATTTGTCATCTTAAATGTGTGCGACAAAATCCAAAGTAAATTGCATCACAGCTACAATGGATGTGATTTGCCTTTCAGTTTTAGTGTTGCCTTAATTATGGAAAAACTTGTGTTTTTGCACATTTTACACCATTGGTTTATTGTTGATGTTGTTTTGGATAGTTGCTACTCCAGGGACAGGCCAAGCCACAGTAAATTGCACAACCCCATCCTTGCCATCACCCACCATGCCAACATACACTATGGCTCTACCCACTAATGGCCAGAATAGTGAAGCCGTTTACACCAATGGTATACATCAGTATACTGGAGAGTATGGTAAGTATATTTTCTTTAGGTTTCCATTAGTTAGTAAAAGTAATCCGACTTTGCACTTTGGACTTACTACAGAAATATCCTGTTACTGCAAAAGAGAGCAAATTGAGTAACACTTGAGCTGCACTGCTGACACACATCCATGCTTAATTGCCTTTTGTGGGTGTCTGCACATTTGGATATGTTAATGGTATGTTGTATGTGCACACTGTGTCTTTACACAGTGGCTCCTGTAACTTGGCCAAATTTTATCCTCAACTCTTTCTATTCAGGTTAAAGTCCATAAGCTGTACTGATATTATATTGATCGAATTTGTGTTCATGTGCATTGCATTTTCATGCATCCCATGTTCACTGTCACCAAGTTCCTTCAAACTTTGAGGCTGTTTCAAAAATGAAAAGTTTTGATCATGTCAATGTGACATGCACATATCAAAAACATTACCCACTTTGCAAATAACATACATTTAGAGTTGACCCTTCATTGTATCGTGCAGAATGCCTTGTATGTGTGACAGTGACTATTAGCTCAACCCCTTAACCATTCAACACACTCTTATTCAGTTAATATGTACGGTATATGTAGAGGCAGTTGTAAGTATTGTGCAATCGTTTCTCCTCTGGTTTAAGTGTGCATTTGAATGATTGCTCGGTATTTGAAGTGGTGGTGGCCATTCATTGGGTTAGCTGTTTTGGTTGTTGGCTGTTCACTTGTGCATTGTCAAGTTGTAATAGAATAAAAGGGTTGGCATGTGTACCAACTTGTGTCTGTGCTCTTTTGTACATGAAATACTTTCAGTATTCGTATGATAGTGGCAAATAGTGTTCCTTCATATGTTGAAGGAGTTGTATGCACCACTTTTTGTGTCCTTTGATAGCTGTTGGTGTTTTCAATGATGATTCTAGTTGTACCTATATGTGAACTCTTTTTGTGGTAATTAATAAATCATCTTTATAGTGCTGTCTAATTCTTTATTGTGGAAATAACCACCAGCCATCAGTCATATTTCTGCTGTGTTTCTTTACTAGAAATTTATGAGAGTTTTTGTAGATTTGACTTGTTGGAGTCACGCAAGGGTAAATGTGGTGTTACTCCTCCCAGTTTTGTTACATGTGGCGTGAGTTTCTATATTAAACCTGTGGCACACTTATATTTAGACCTGTAACATTTAGATGGAATTGACAGATTGTGGAGAGGATGTTTACTATGTAACTACTTTATTAAAGATGGCTGCTTCCACGTACACTTTCTATATGCTTACAATTGCAGTCAAGCAAGGGCGCTGTAATAGATATATGGTCAAGACATATTCCTGTACCTCCCCTTCAAGTACAAATAAGTGTACTCTAAGACTGAACATTAATAAGCATACCTTTCAGAAATCAATTATGTATATTAAAGCTTCGGTCTTTATGTCATATCAGTGTTCAAAAAAACATTTGAATTTGGCGGAGTGTGCATTTTCCTTATTTTTTTTTCTCTTTTTAAACTTCTTGAAACTTTTAACAACTAGCTGATGAACGTGCAACTTTTACTTCTAAATTTTTAAGCATACAAACCTTCATTGTTTTTTCAACTTTATTCTTTCTTCATTGCAGTATTTTTCTGCAAGATGCAACCAAATTGGCAAGGACTGTTTCGTTATTTTTAGAACAGTTTTTTTGTTTTGTAGGGGATTGACTGGATATTTTATCTTTTCTGGCTGACTTATGTTTAAATGTACAAGTCAAGATGATTTGGGGGTTTCACTAAACGTCCCGAACATGTCATCACAGCAGATTGTTTGGCATTGAGAGTCTGTGAAAGAGATGAAGAGGACATCTGTGGCAGAGTTGTTGGTGCAGGTTCCAAGGTTGAAGGTTCTGGAATGGTTTTCTCCGACCTGGTGGGAGAGGGCAGAGACGGCTTTGCTGGTGACCGGATTTGGAGGGTTGAGTTTGGTGATTTAACCAGTCCTGAGCGATTGCTGTGGAATGTGCCATGATTAGTTTGGATGATGCGGGATCATGGCTCAGGTGTCTGGCTTACAATCGTTCCGTGACTGTTTTGATCCCTAATCCACACTGGATCCCCTGGTTTCAGCACTGGTAGGTCTTGGGCACGATGACGGAGGTTGAAGGTGCACTTCTGGCTATCGCGATAGAGATCCTCTTTCTGTCTCACTTGTAGGTGATGCTCCGGTTGTACTCAAGGCTGTAGCTTCGATGGAAGGATTGGTAGCTGTGTGCAGAGTTTTCTTCCCATCAGAAGTTCGTTTGGTCATAGCCCACTCTGTAGGGGGGTAGCTTTGTACATGTATGTTAGAAGGGCAAGGTTAGATTGCTGGTTTTTCTGAAGTAGGCCCTTCATGGTGCAAACAGCTCGCTCAGCTTCACCATTTGCCTGTGGGTACCGAGATGAGCTGGTGGTGTGGATGAAACTGTAGTCCTTAGCGAATCGTTGGAATGAGTGTTCGCTGAACTGCGGTCTGTTTTCATATACCACGAAGTCTGGTATCCCGTGTACTGTGAAGATTTCTTTCAGAGCTCGAATCACAGTCTAGGCATGTTGCTTACTGGAGAGAGGTTTAATCTCTACCCAGTGCGAGTAGTGGTTGACGATGATCAAAAAAATTTGCCTTGGTATTCGAACAGATCCATACCCAGCCATTCCCAGGGACAGGAGGGGAATGTTGCAGATATGAGGGGCTCACATTGTTCTGGTCGGTGTTTGGCACAGGTTTGGCATTTGAAAACCATATTCTCAATGCTTTTGGAGATATACCTGGCCACCAGACTGATGTACGCGCTCGGTTTTGGCTCTTGGTGATACTCCGATGACCTTGATGGATGCAGTCAAGCATTTCCAATCTCGCGGATCTGGGAAAAACTATGCTATCGTCATATAGGAGGTGATTGTTGAGAACAGTGAGATGGCTTCTGTTCTCCCTGTACTGATGGAGTAGTGGTGTATTTGGCATGTATGCCGGCCAACTATGCAAACAGTACTCTTTGATTTGGGTGTATTCTTCATCCGCTTTTTGAGCTGTTGTGATGTCAAGTAGTCGTTGTGTGCTTGCCAGGAGTGTTGTCATTGTCTCCATAGTGAAACTTTCTACTTCTGATGCTTGCCTGGTACATACTGGGCTGTCGGGTTAAATCTCATGAGACGTAGGCGAAAGCGAAAAATGCATGGCAGCATTTTGGAAAGTTCCTTTGATCTAAGAAGGGACACAAGTGGCTTGTGGTCCGTCTCGAGGACGAATAGTAGCCCAAGTATGCTGTCAAAAAATTTTTCACATTGAGTGAGTGTGACGCGTAGCAAACCAGACGTTATCCATCATCTTGGGTTTGGAGCAGAACGGCCCCAGTACGGGTTAATGAAGCTTCAGTAGCAACAAAGGTAGGGCACCTGGAGTCATAGTGGGCTAGTACTTTGGATGAAGTGAGCAAGTTCTTTACATGTTTCAAGGATTGCTGCGCGTCACCCCAATACCATGCTGTGACCTTTTGTAACAGCTGGCATACTGGCTCATTAATTGCTGTCAAGCTAAGACGAATTTCCCGAACTGGTTAACCATTCCTATGAACCATTACAATTCTGAGATGTTGGACGGGACTGGGAATTCTGCAATGGCTGTAATCTTATTTTGGTCAGCATGAAGGCCAGTTGTGTCAGTCACATGACCCAGGAACTTAACTGTGGTCTTTTTGAACTCCTCATCAAGCGGAATTTGCCAAAATCAGCATTTGCGTCAAGTTTCAAGAAGATTTTACTCTGGCGCAGCTTAACGAGACTTTCGTTGACTGAAGACAAGGGCTGTATTTTGCATTGAATGCATTTGTTTAGCTTTGTTAATTCAACACAGATGCAATAGGAATGCAATGTTCGGTTTAGGCACAGTAACCTGAGCACCATGCTATTGGTTTGGAGAAATGACCCCTTGTTGAAGCATAGACTGGATCTCCTTTTCCACTTGTAGTAGAAGGGGTAGGGCACTTTCTGTGGTGTGTATAAGCATACAGGCCTAGCGTCAGGACACAGCGTTATGTGGTGTGGTGTCGAAAGTTTTCCCAGGCCGGTGAATAACCCAGAAAATTTTGCTTAGAAGTTGGGAGCTCAGCTTTGTTTCACCTCGTAGAATCTGGCCACGAGGCCTAGATCGACACATTCTCGTTTGCTGAGTATCAAACATCTCTGGTTCTGGATGACATATCGTTGCTAGGTGATCTCCTTCTGGCAGCACTGCAGCTTTGCAGTCGGCATACCAGTCACTGGAAGTGGGGTACCACCTGGACCACGGAGGGACTGATTTGTCTCCTTCAGTTGTACTCTGGCCAACTATGGATTTGTGTCACTGATGACGGACACTGTCACCCTAGTGTCAAGCTGAAAATGGGTACCGTGTAAATTCATGGCGATGTAAGCACTCCAGTAGTCATCATCGTTGCCGATAATTTTGCCAAGGAATGGAAGGTCATCATCCAGGGTGTCCTGTACTTCATGGACTTTTGTAGAGCTGCATTTTGGTGCTGGAGCACTCTGACAAACTGTCTTGAAGTGGCCTTTTTTCTGGCAATTGTCACACACTGCGTCTTTGGCTGGGTAGTGCAGGCATGAGTGGCATTGTCTACCCACACCATTTGCATGTTCCGGTGGCAGAATCTTGTCTGGGTTGTGACTACTGGGCCTGGCTTTTGGGCTTTTGATTGCAGAGTTTAAGTTGAGCAGGTTTGCATTTGTTGACCTGGTCAACACTAGTAGGCTTTGTGTTACCCCTTACAATGTCACAGTTTTCGTTTCGAGCCTCACCTGGCGACATAGTGGGATTGCTTTGTCGAGTGTCTGGTCTGTTTTTGACTGTGAGGTGTCAGACAGTTTATCATCTAACACTCCCACAACTTTCCTGTCCCTGATGAGACTTTCCTTGAGCTTCCCATATTGGCAGTTGCCAGCCAATCTGTATCGATCTTGGATGAAGGCATCCACTGGCTCACCCAGCATTTGTTTATGTTTGTTATTA